ATAATCATGATCTTGGAACTATGCCATTGTCGTCACACAGTTGATTTATTTTTCATCAAATCTTATCTTTAGTGATCTGTTGCATAAACCTAGCTACATCCCGTTACTAATAACAAAACATAATTTCAATATTTAAACTTTTAAATTGTACTCAATTATTTATATTATTTTTTGCTTGCTAAATTTTGCAACTCTAATTATAAATACCATAGAACAAGAATACCTACACAATACATTTTTAGGTAAATTATAAAATATAAAAATTACATATCGACCAAATAACGAAAAAATAATTAACAATTTTACTACATTCATTATATATTATACTCGTATAATTTATATATTGGTCAAAATAATGTTCAAATGTATAATCTAGCTATGGATGAATTACAACATCATTATTGTCTATTTTTTAGGAGTCGAATGGTATAACAGTTAATGCTGATGACGGATTGAGCCACAAACAAGTTGATTTGGATAAAATTTTTAAGCCAGCAACAGACTCTGGTGAAGTTTCTCCATCTAAGAACAGTAATTTTTCTGTTAAATTAATTTTATCGAGTTTTGTTTAACCGCCTCAAATTGTTGATCTTAGGGAAAATGTATGCTAGTAGTAGTTTTTATGGTCCAGATCATCCAACTGTGGAACAGCAATTTGAGTTAGCTCGCCGTATATCCAGATCATTAAGTGATATAAGTAATCAACAGAGTAAAGGACAATCCATGTACGTCAACCGCAAAAAGAGATCTGTTAAATGGGTTCATGAAGGTGATAAAATAAACATACTATTTTTAACAGCATTTTAAAATTATTTTTATGATAAAATAACTATTTATTTGCACCGTTTAATCATAAAAAGGGGAAGGTAAAGGTCCTATACCATCAAATTTTCCACTTGGGATCCATCAACAAAACTATGAATCTTCCGAACAAGTAATTTATAATTGCACTGTATTGATTAAAACAAACAACTATACTTACACATTTGTTTTTAGAACTCAGAATCAAAACAAATGCTGAAGTTAGTTATGGATCCACGTGGTCAAATACAGGATTTACAGACATTACGCAAACTTGGAGAAAATATTGAACCTTGTCTTAGTCCGGAAGTATGCTTTGATTTAGTTAGAGACTTAAATGCCACAAAAGGAAAAGGTTGTATTTATTTTAAATATTATTTGGCGTATTAATGTTATTGATTAATACATTTTAAAGGGGCTGCATTATTTGCAAAGAGACGTAAAAGGTCTGAAAATTGGATTGTAGATGAACATAATGTTAAGTCTATTTCACCTAGTCTTTCTGAACCAGCAAATATAAAACACGGTAGTAATAACATCCCAAGTCATCCACAAGGTACCATAAGAGCGGAAAATATTCAAAAAATGAATGAAATTCAAGTATGTATTATCATGTAAATTCTGACTTACATATTATATACATATCATTGTATTGTATTGTAGTAAATAATTATCTAGATACTTTTATCAATAATAATTGATGATCTTATACATTTTCAGCAAAGGTTCACTCAACCTCGTTTAAGATTGATTAAGTCTCCATGGGAAGCAGCTTTGGAAACGGGATCTGTCGAGTCAGCCTTTCAAGAAATGGCTCCAAATTTTCCACCAAGAGGATATATTGTTGCACCAACTTCAGGTGCTTTAGAAGCACTTAAAGATGGTGGCAGAACATCAAGAGCCACTGTTTGTTCAACTCCTACTAGAACCGCAACACCAAAAAGTTTCCAAGATATATACATGCCTAAAATACCCAGAGGTTGGAATACGCAATGTAACAGACAACAGCCACCGACTTATGGTATGTAAATAATGTTAATAACATTTAATTGTATAAGTTAATTTTTTGCTGCTTGTAGGCTCAGTTAAATTGGATCAGATTTTTCGTGGTGCCCCGAATTCTCCAGTTAGTTTATTGAATAAGGCATCTATCTGCTCAACTGGTCTTACTCCCAAAGTCTCTGAAAATTTATCTTTTACAACTTTTACAATCAATAAAGATAATTCACTTACTTTAACTCCAGTACCAAAACCCCCAGCAACTTATCATGGTTATTATGATGAACCAAAATTTCATAAAGTTGAATTTACTCCAAGATCAACTCCAGGCTTAGATCAAATGAGTGGCACTCATAAATCAGAAAGTTTGATCGAAGAAAAAATAAATGAAAAAGAGCCTCTTATACAATATGAAAATGAAAAACCAAAAATTGAACTACAGATAAAAGAAAACGAAAAGTCAAAATGTAATAATTACAACGTGTTTGTTCCCAAATCACATAAGACGTATGAAGAATATATGCCTAATATAAATACATATACTGAAACGAACCGCGCTGAAAGTAGATGTTCACTTAAGTCGCCAAGTAGCTTCGTAGGAACTAAACAGGAAAAAACGCCAAACACTGTTATACAAGAAAGATCATTACCGGTTAAAACACTGATAGACACATTTGAGCATAATAATAGACCTGTAATGCGGTATTTACAGCTTGAAGAAAGAATACCATTAAGCGAAGAGATAAAACACTTGCACGATGATCCAAAACCCGCATCTATTGATGGTAATTTAACGAATAGAGATGAATCATCTAACATTGGCGAAGAAAATGGATTTTATACAGCCAATACAGCAGTTGAAACGAGAAGTTTTGTGTATGGAAACAATGAACAGCACGGCTGCGCTGATGAAGTTAATCCTGAACACTATGTCAAGTCTGAATTCTATGTAGATACATCTGGAGTCGGTGTTAAGTCTAAATATGACAATATATCGGATTTCGCAGATCAAACTGGAAAAAATGATAAGTCCGAGTATGGCAATAGATCCGATTATGGTGATCAACCTGAAACCAACGATAAGTCTGAGTACGGTGATAGATCTGAGTGTGCAGATAAATCAGGGATCACTGATAGGTCTGAATATGGCGATAGATCTGAATACACTGATGACGTTTCACTATCGTTTGACGTGAGGGGTGATATGAAATTTCAGACCATTAGGCAATTAGCCACTCCGGACAGTTTAGAATCTAGTATGTTGTTTGCTCAAAAACAGAGCTCACGGGATGAACGTCATCAAGAGTACAATAATACTAATTATAATGCACCACGCAAAACACCAGGCAAGATAAATATTCGACCTTTGATTTTTTGCACGTTGTTGGAATTCATCATTTAAATATGCAATGAAATGTCCTTTCCGATGCATGTATGTTTTCCTTTTACAGAAACCACCGTTTGATAATATACTTTTTCGAATAATTAGTTTTATAAAATTAAAATAATGTCTTAGATTTAAACTAAATCCTTAAATTAATAATAATAATGTAAAAATGTACATGAGTTTAATTCCAATATGAGATTAATCATCATGTATTTATTGCTCTAGGAAAATTAAAAATATAAAAACAAGACTAGGTAGAATATTAATTGTTTGATTATAATATACGTATATAAAAATGTGAGAGTATTTTTAATTATAATTTCCCGTATCAACTACTCTTGTATTTATTCAAACCAAAAATGGTACTACCTGAGTACCTGGTATATTATATAAGTCATATTATTAGATGTTATTTGGACAGTTGTGGAACAACTCAGTTTTGCATTTATTCAGGCATAGACAAAATACTATTTACGACGACTGCCCGATGAGAAATTTATTTAAATTTTACTTTGAATTAAAATATAATTTTATTGACAGTCGTTAAAAACATAATATTAATGTTATTTGAATTTGGAAGTTAAAAGTTGAATTTATTTGTGTTTTATATACCTATGTGACATTAATTACTTATATGTTATTTGTTTAACAGTAATATTTGATATAATAATAATATTGACATTTTATTTTTCAACAGATCCTGCATATGTGGTTCCGTCAAATTGTAATCAGTCAAAAAACGTTCAGTTGCCATCATACAAAGATTATTTATCATTGAGCAACTATAATACTGCACCCAGGGGTTGGAAACAAGGCGATTCGATATTTTATAGACCAGTGACATTCAACAATCAACCAAATCGTGAAGATAATCGCAGAAAAAGCTTTACCGACTTCTGATACCCTTTTAAATGTATCTATATTAATTAAAAGGGACCGATTAACGTGAGATGATGCTGATATATCATATACGCATGGTATAAATAACGTTACCTGGTTGCAGATTTAATGAATTGACAAGTTTCAAACATCGTTGGTAAATCGTATTAAGTTCGATTTTTTTTTACATACATTAACTACCATGATTTTAAAATGCTTTCAAGTTGTGTTATATATTATTATAGGTAATAATTGTATTAATTGTTTATTTATTTATTTATTTTTTACTGTTTGACAGTGTTCATTATTTGTTTATTTCAAATCGAAATAAAAGTAATTTTATCAAAAATAAAAAAAAAACAACCACTTTCATTATAATTTTTTGAGTTTTTTACACTTTAATCTTGTAGTTTAATGCTCCTAACATAATTATAATTGGTATGGCTACTAGTACGATAAGTACCTTTGTAATACTATATAGATAATAAGAATAAGAATGCTTGTTTAACGTTTGGTATAGTGTCCACTGTCCATATTAAATGTAAAGTATCTCCAAAATCAAAAATAATAAACAGCAATCAACGGATGTGTTATATGAAAAATCATTGTATACGGAAAACAATTCTGTCAGCCTACATAATATTTTCTAAGAATATTTTTTGTATTTTAGTAATTAATTTTTCTATTAAGGAATACATAGTTATACAATTAATTTAACTAATTTTTGCAAAATCAATTTTTCCTATCAGAAACTACCCTCGATGTATTCGAATATCGAATTATTTTTTTTACTAGAAATAAAAGTAAGTGCCTTCAGACCCAAATATAAAAATAAAAATTCTCTTTATTGTAAAATAAATTGATTTGTCACCACACTCATAATCTAAAATTTAAAGTCTATATAAAAAGTGACTAAATATTTCAAAACAAATTTTAATAAATTGAAATATTCAAGTAAATTTAAAGTATCTAGAGTTTTTCGTTTTGATAATAGATGTCAAAACTTGGTTTTGGGTAAATATTTCCGTTTTTTCATAATTTTTATTTCGTTAATTTTTTGTAATTTTTTGAAAAAAAATAGAATCGGTGAATTTAAATTTTTTACCCCTGAAAGTGATAACTAGATCTCATTTGTTAACAGAAACCACCCTCATAGTTGGAAGCATTTTTTTCTACTGTTAAGAGTGTGTTAAAAAAAAAAATCACATTATTGTAGAACTGATATTATGTTCATTCATCGTCCCTCGAAGAATCTGAAACCGGGAAAGTCATTCTGCTGTATTGATCCAATTTTTTATTCACAAACAAAAATCGTAAATAATAGATCAGAAAAAAACAATTTAAGTTTTATTGAAATTACTCTAAATGTTATTATTTTATCAATAACGAATCACCGTAAACAATAAATTATGACATGCTATAGAGTGGGTACTTATAGACACATACAATATTTTTATGTCAGCTTTATCGTAAGTCGTTAAATATAAAATATTTTATTTTATGGATTTTGAAATAAGGCTCAAATTTGTCACCAAGTAGGAACTTATAAATATCTCATTTTTTCACTATGTAGGAACTTCACATTGTTCTTTCACCACAACAAATTTATTTAAAAAAAATGTATTTTTACTAATTTAATTTATAGTTGGTTTAAAAAAATATTGAATGTTACAGCAGGTTAGCCATAAAATAAGATTTTATAAGTCCATATTATATTCAATATTTTTAGTGCTGTAAAGTTGTTTGAACTCATCGTTGGCACAACAATTATTTTTTTGGTTTAAAAAAATCATTCAAACATTACCACATTACATTTATTTTACCACCTACTGTCACCCACAATAAATCGTTGTCTACACAATGAATTTCACAATATTTCTATAATTTTCTGATGTGTTTATAAGATCAAAATTTTAATTTACAACATTTAGCAAAGGGTAAAATCTAGAGGATTATTAAAATACAGCAATCTCATCATTACTTCACCAGATCGCGCAACTTGTTTATTATTCTGTAGATAATATATTTTTTTTTTATATGTTGTACAAATGTATTAGTTGAACTTTGAACATTTACCTATAAAAGGGATATAGCTTAAAATTAAAAATAATTAATTTAATGTTCATAAAATATAGCTTATTATTTTCTAATAATTGTTTCTGTGGGGAATGTAATTGTATCATATGTACGCCAATTATTATTGTTCATTGAAATTTTTAATTTTCGCTTAATCGTTGATGTAGTGTACAACGATTTGTTTCTAGTTTGTGGATAGAATGTAATAATTGATTTATCATCTTTTTTGTCCTTTTTATTCGAATATCCAATTCTAAATGGATCGATGTATCGATCATCAGAATGACTGGGCCACTTTTCGAAACCATTTCCAAACTGAACAAAGTTAACATGCAATTAGTTATTTTTAAAACAATTTTAGATTATATACACTAGGTGAACTTTAAATCAGCTATTACAATTTTTTGAAATATACAATTTAAGCAATGAACATCTAAAAATGAATTAATGAAATGGTTGTGAGCTGCACCGATTTACTTTACTACCTGTAGGTACGTAAATCTATACAGGACGTTTTTTTAAGCATGCTCATCCTATTATTATGCTTAAATTATACATACATAAAAATTCGGAAATTCGGAACTTTTAAATTTGAAGACCAATTTTCTTTTTTTGAATCAAAATTCAAACAAGTAGGTTATGAGTTATGTAACATTGTGTTTTGGGGATAATATGTTTATGGTAATGGGTTAAGCAGAAGTCTAGTGGGGGAATAGAAGGTTTGAAAAAGTTAGCAATTTTACTATTTATTTATCATGATAAATAATTTATAAAAAGGATCCTAGTATGTATAATAAATACTACATCTAACATGACATGTATGGTTTTGATTTTTATAAAATCAGGATTATTATCCTTAGTAAAAACATTTTAATTTAATTTTTCTCTAAATAATTTTCAGTAAAAAAGGGAAGCCACTTTCATTTGAAAAATAGAAGTTTGTATTGCCACAAGATACTTGTTAAGTCGTACAAAAAGTATCAGAAATTAGAAAACATGGTCATAAGGTCTACTTAAAAATTCTAAAATCAAAATTTAAATAAATGTATTATTGTAGAGAAAAATAGGGATTGGCAAGCTTAATAATCACAATGTATATCTACAACAATTTAAATATACAAAAATGCAATAAAAAAAGAAAATACGACTTATAATAACATCACGATTTATTTTGCAAGTAATGTAAGTATTATTGTTATTTATCATACATATATATTATAAATTATTAGTATAATATTAAAATATAATTAAACCCTATTTTAATGTCATCAAATATAATTAAATTTCAAAACGCAAGACTGTAGTTTTATAAATTAAATGACAGTAAAATATAACGTCATAATAATTTATTTATTATTTTAAAAAGAAAGTTAAAAGTACTTTACTACCACATAATGTGATGATTATTCATTAATGCATACTATATATAAATAATACTTACTATTTTTATATCATTGTGAATTATAAATACAATAATAATATAATAATACTTATATACTAAAATTATTCTGAGTTGAGCTCAGATAAGGCATAAGCAAAGTTGGGTTTTTTTTCTCCAACAATAATTAAATAATTGTTTTTCCATATTTACGAAAACTAAATTAATTTGAAAAATGCTATGACTTAACGTTAAGAATCAACATGAAATAATATTTTTAAATTGATAAAAACACTTAAGACTTTTTAGCACTTGTTTTGAAAAAAAAGTGAATGTAAGAACGAGGTTTTTATAGAACCAATATTTACCTCGCTTTACAAACAACCCAATATATAATTTATAAGTACATAACGAATACGATATGGTAATATATGTGTTAATTAGGTAGTTATTATGGTGTAGGTACTAGAAATTATATTGGCAAGTTTTAAATGTTTACAAAGAGCAAAATAAATATTAAAGAAGCATGATATAATATGGAAGCACATGAAATATAACTTACGTGATTTATTGTTGAAGATGGTATAAATGGTGTTCCTTTAAATTTAGTTTTCGTGATCTTCTTGTACGTTGCCGTATGATCATTACTAAAATAAGGATTTTTTTCAAAGAACTCGCAGGTACCACTCGATAGAAACGGCGAAGATTTGTTTAATTTATCTGTTTTATTAAGCTTTTTATTATCATTGTATGGACTTGACCTACAAATTAATATTTTCTAAAATTACTTTTATTACATTTCAGACAAATTGATACAAACCTAAACAAATGGAAATCACATAAAATAGTTGAAAAATTGTCTGATTAATTCATTAGAATTACGAGCTACATAATTATTAAGGCACCTAAATATCATATTTTAAGTGTACGAATTAAATATTATGTATGTAATAAATCATAGTTATATATCTATATGACTATATTTGTCTTTATATAATCATGGTTTGATTATAACAATATGTTAATAAAAAGTAAACCAAAATAAGTTATTTATTTATGAAATTGGTTAGCAAACATATTGTTCTCATAAGATAAAATTAACTTTTATAATTAATACCGACTTCATATATATTATTACTTTTTATTATATTGATGTTCAAATGTTTAGTTTATTTATGAAAGGTATGGAATCGTGCTATATTGTTATAATGAGTTTATTAATGTAAATTTTGAAGCCATGAACTAGTTTTATTATTTTTTTTGAAACTGTAATTATCTTGACTTGGTTACTTTCAAATAAGTAAATACAATTGGTTGTTAACATATTATTTTTAAATATTTTAACTTAATATTTATTAATATTTAATAATTAAAGTCGTATTTTTTCTTTATGATGCACTTTAAAGTTAGTTGTACGTAATTTATATCCGTATCAATAGCTATATAATTATTTTATTTATAAATGTACATGCAATTCAATTTTCTATTTATGATACTTACTTGTATTCAGGGTATGGACTGAAACCAATATCAGTATATCCAGGTCCTCTTGTGTTAGTTGGTTTAGTTGCAATATTTGGTGGCAGCTTTTCTTTCTTAGGTAAAGGAATTTTGGCATTAGACATCGCTAAATGAAGAAATAAAATATAAACTTTAGTCTTAATAAACATTAAAAGTTAAGACTATTCAAACAAAATTACATTTATTTATAAACAACCTGGAAGTTTAGGACCAAATGTTCCAAAATGATCACCAGCAGTTGAATGGTGTTTTGCAGGACTTGAAGGTATAAATGGTCGTGTGCTACCTTGTTTTTTCTTATTTTCACTTTTAACATTAAAATATTTATTGCATAAAATATATGTATATATAATTAATATTATGAACACAATTTGAAAATATGGGACTAGTGAAGGAACTATGTGAGTACCATCGAATTAAGCATTCAAAAACACGCATTTTAGAAAAAAAGCCAATAATTCGCTCGGGAGGTAAACTGCATTTGTGATAATAATATTATTTAGTTGAGTATTGTTTACATTGATAATTAATTACAATGACATAAGTACATTATTACATTACTCAAAATAGTTACACTATTTTACCAATGAGTATTATTATATTATTATTTATTTATTATTGCTAAATTATTTTTTTAGTAAACAGCAATAATATTTTTTTTTAAGTTTTATAAAATTACATCTGATAACCACGAAAATGAGTTTATTTCAAAAATGATTTTCATAATGTCCAATAAAATAAGTTATGATCAAAAAAATCGAATTATGTTAAAATAAATATTACAAATAATATACTAAATAACTAATCACTTTTTATCAAACATTCCCGATGGAGGTGGTCGCCATTTTTCATTTTCATACAACCTTTTAAATTCAGGTTCAAAATAAGCGTCTTGAAGACCGGTTTTAGTTTTTAAAGTACTTGGATACATTTGAGACTTTTTCAAATCTCGTATATTATCTTCTACAGGTCATAAATCATAACAATATACAGTAATATGTTTAAATATAATGCATTTGAATAAATGACTACAAACTTAAATTAGGTGGTTTATACTTATCGCCAATCATATATGGCATCTCCGAAAACAAACCAATACGGTCCATGTCGTATTTGCCATGGCTTTTACCCAGATCGTCAAAGGTTTGACGTGCTGTCATTATAATATATTTAGAATTATTTTAGTTAATGTTATGTAAAATATAGTGATTAAAATTAGTGGAAATGGAATGTCTAGTATTTATAAACAGCACTACAATAAAATAACTAATTGTCATACAATAAAACAAATCACATTGTTTTTATGTCAGAAATAATTGATATTGATATTATTTATTAAACTGTAAGTGGCCAATAGCTAAAATATAACTGCTTAAAGCTAATAAAACTATATGCTGGTAGATAAGTTTACCTAGGTAGGTATAATTTGAAAAGTTTAATAATTTTCGGTACAATTTTAAACTTTTTTCATTATTATTATTTGATGTTTGTAATACATGCAGAACTAATGAAGTATGTTATAAATTATAATACACATTAAAGAAAGTATTACATATATTCATACATAATTACAAAAAAAAATATTTTAAAAGTAAAATATTAAATATATTATCTGATACATTCCTAACATAATGAGTATGACTGCTTCGATTAAAACGGGAATGATCCAATCACATTTCTTTCATAACATTTTTAATTTAAATTATTCTGCAAAATAACTGAAAATTAGTTAATACTTTTTAACCATTGATTTACGAAAGTAAAAAAATGTACATTCACTTAAATCTAATTTTTTAATTTATTTATATGCTAGCAAATTTGTGTACATGGAATGGACTGAAATCAATGTCATAATTCCCATGTCATTTTGTTCTAATTTAATATTTTTAATTTGAATTATTATATATAACCGACTGTAGAAAAAAAAAAAGATTGTAAATAATAAACTTTTTCAAAAGTGTGAAATTCAAAACAATAAGTCACACTTATCTCAATTACAATATTGTGTATTATTTCAATCGAAAAATGTCTTCTATGAATCTTTCTGTAACTTAGAAACGATTTAAAAAAGATTTTGAACTGAATCATATAAAACCAATAGCTAGTTGAGGAATTGAGTTTAAAATTTCTAATTAACACCTTCATGTACCAACGTTATATAATAATGTAAAAATATCCTTAACTTTTGAAATCAACGTAATAACCAACTCCAATCCTAAAAATAATAACCATGGTATTATTACAAGTGACTAAAAAATAAACTTAAAAATGTAATTTTCTTTTTACTGGTCTCGAAGAAAGTTACTGGTCGCTTCAGTAACATTAACAATTATAGTTTCTATATAATATAGTTTACTTAAAAAGTTTGTTTAAAATTATTTACAATTGTATCTTTATTATTTTTATAAACTACAGTTCATACTTACGCATTTATACATTTTTTGCAAAAAATCTAATATTATATTTTATACGGTTAATATGATTTATTTACTAATTAAAATATATCCATGATTTACACAAAGTTATCAGTTTATTTTTTTTAGGTAACCTAACATATTATAAGGATATCTAACTTAATTTATTGTAAAATTATACTTTGCATATTTCATAATTTTTTTTTTTACATCAAAGGAGGTTAGCCAAAATTATTTTTTTTATACCTAGGGTAAATATTATGTTTTGTATTCCAGTTTATTTTTTTTCTGTTTAACTTACAACATTTAATTTTTAAATTGAAACTAATTCAGTGAAAAAATGTTATTTTTTGTAATATCCCTATTCACTTTCAATGTAAACTTAATTGATGATTTTTAATTTAAATGTCAGGGACCCGGTAAGGATAAAAGTGATAAAACATATATTTTTTTAAAAATGTTTTTGTATTTTGATCATTGTCGTGTACTTTAAAGAATCTAATATTATAGTTCATATAATAAGTATAGAAGTTATAATATTCTAAATTATACCAGTTTTTATATAACGTTTGGTCCCAGCAAAAATAATTAATTATTATTCAAAGAAAAGCACTGTAATACGTTTTTTATCAGCAATAATTCCTTTAAATTCCAAAACGCTGTATCCCCTAAACTCTTCAACTTGAAACAAAGGTTTTCTCTAGGTCTAGGGTTTTGGACTCTTAAATGTAATGTTTCAGTACTCTAATTACATTGTCTTGGTAATATTGTAGGTAAGGTCAGAATTTATTTTATACATTATGTCTAGTACATTGATAGATTTGATTATATTTTTTTCCATAGTATATGTATTGAATGTTATTAATTATTATGATTTAAAAAAGTTCTGTTCACAAATGTATGTGAATAGATTTTTTTTTTGATTTGTTTTAAGGTTGAGTAGAATGATAAAAAAAAAATTAGATTACCGGTAATAGGATTTTTGAACGGAGAGAAAAAACCACTGGGAATCTGATTTTGATTAGATTTTAAGTAGCAGTAGCTTCTCTCATAAAACTCTGACCCAACTCAATTACAATCTGGGGTACCATAAACCTACCCAGGGCTATCTTGTAACTGAAAATAAACTCCTTAGAGGTTATCAGATCTAACCGATGATATATTTCATATTGATGATGAAGAATAGAAATTATATACTAAGACGTTTAATATTTGTACTATTCTTTACCATCTGACTCAGACTCCTTTTTACTTCAGTTCGATTTTAATTATCTTATAATATATTCTGTTTAACAAATGAAATGTTATGTATTATAATTTTGTAATAATGTGTTTATCTTGAAACTATTTCTGATAGAACAAATTGTAAATAATATAGAAACTTGTAAATGTTATAAAAATAATATATATATATATATAATTTAAAATATAATTTAAAATTTATTTACAATCAATACACAAATAAATGCGCTAAATAATTTTAATTAGGTGATTTTAATTAGTGACAAGAATAAATGAGTTTGGTGTGACACTCAGTAGTGCCACCCGATAGATATCATAGACAATCTCTAGGCCGGGTGTCCATGATCATCCTTAATGTTCTTGGGGTTTTCAGGGACGTAGGAGAGGAAAGTCGGTTCTTGGCTGATTTTTGAGATGGGATAACTTTGAATAAAAATCGATGTAGAATGATTTGATTAGTTGAGTGAACGTTTGGATTTTTAAGTCAATGTGCAGATTATTCGATTCGATAAACTTACTAGGAGCAGAGACGATATAAAAAATTATAATGAAAAAAATCTGCTTATAAATTGATAATAATTATGAACCATAAACAAACACAATATTAAGTATTTCTAAGTTATGAGATCTTATATTAAATAATATTGTATTATTTTATACAAATAGTTGTTCAAATTATGAAATTTAAAGCCGTCTTATTATAACCTATAATATTAAATGACCACTGATTCATTAGTTTAGAATTATTAACTGGTTAAATGGCTAGTAGTTATCTAAAAAACTTTGAAATCTTATTTCTAAATGCATTTCTCATTTCTCATTAAATACTTCTATAAAGTATAGTTAAATACCCAATTCCTACATTTTGAAAAAAAAACTATTCATTATTTCAAATGCTATTATCGTACATTAATTTTAGCTAAAGTAATAAATACGTTGCATATTTAAATATAAAACAATGCTATATGAAAAAAATACAATTTAGTAAAATAATATTTTAGTTTATATTACAAATTAACTTAAAAAATATACAATACTAAAAATAAAAAGGTAAATTATCTTCTAGTTTTAATATAAAAGCCTGAACAATTTGTATAAAATATAATTTAAAAATAAGTATACCCACTCTTTAAATAATACATGGGACGAATAATAATTTTTGACTTTTTTTGTGTATTAATTAACAATTTAACTTATCTTATTTTATTTTTAGTAAAATTGTCTGAATAGAGAAATTATATAACATTATATTTTTAAAAAGTAATCTTAAAATATCGTTACAATTACAATTTTTAAAAATTTTAAGAAAACGTTTAAGAATTTCGATGTTATGAAAAATGAGTGTTGTAAATTAAGAGTGTTTTCTTCCACTCCATATTAAAACATGAACAAATCAAAAGAGGAACTGAGTTACCAAACCTCAGCAACACACTAAAAAAAAACTTAAAACTAAGAAGAATTATTATGATTGTAGAAATTATAACAGATAATATCTTGATATTTTTATTAGAAATGTATACTTGGTGGAACTGGGCCACAGGGGTGATTTACATTTCGCTAAAAATCTAAAATACTTCTAAGAATTGAGTTTCTATTGTATGTATTTTATGACTAGCCCTATAACCAGACTTCACCTAGGAAAATGAGCAAACATAAAATACTTGGCTCTATATTTGTGTATCTTGGTTCAAGAGTACCTTGCTCTGTTCATGAGGAAATCAGCATCGGTGTAAGTCGCATTGTGAACTAATTCAACCTAGATGGGTTAAATGTGCCTGTGGTGGATTGTACATAGCACTTGGTATATTTTTAAACGCGGTGTAAGCTACTCTTTAACATTTCCAGATATCTCTAAGAACAATCTTTAAAACTCTTGTTAAAATCAGTCCAGTAGTTTTTGAGCCTACGAGCTACGAACATAAGGCTATTAAATATTCTTTTCTACTGGAAAAAAAATCCTATAGCAACACAAGGTGGATAATTTTGCATCTGTAACCTATAGTATATCCATGTATTATTAATAAAAAAATTTGATTTTCGTGGGTCAATATGAAATTCATGAGTGGGACGAAAAGAGAAGGTATAGGTACAACCACCTCCCAATTCACGAGGAATCTATTGATATAACTTTTATTGAAAACGGTCCAGTTATTTTCTGAAATCAGTGAGTTTGAACATTCAAATCCTTCAGCTTTATAATATTTTATAGGTATAGTACCTAGTACCTATACCTATATAAAGATTAAATGTTTCATTATAATATGAGCAACTGCAAGTTGTGGAAGGGTTGATGTCCGCTTTGTGTATTGGTCTGGGCTTAACAATTATTTATTTACGTACATAATTTTAAAATGAACGACTAACATTATATAGAAAAACCAGGGAAATAACTATTAGGTACTGTAGAAATTAAATTTTATGGTTAAACAATGTAATGGACTGTAAATTAGAGCATTTTTACTGTATGTTTGCTGTATACGTACTGAATAGTCATTTTCGGGTAT